GCAGGGGACCGCTAGTTTGTTATACATTGTTTGTTTTACGCAGATACATATTATTTGATACAACCTGCCATACTTTTGGCATCTACTGTTATTTTTCTGCTTATACATATTGTCTTTCTCTCACCGCTGTGCTCCCCTCCCCTCTCTCCCAAGCCACAGCTTTTACATATCATCTGTCCAAAATTTCAATTCTTCTTGCGGAGGTAACTTTCCTTCTTTATTTTTTTAATCCTTTTTCAATAAATTTTCTCCATACATCATCAAAATCACTTTGTTTCCATATACCTCTTTTAACTTTTAATATACATGTCAGCTTATCATTTATTGCCAATTTCCATACTTCCTTGTACCACTCCTCTATTTGTATATTTATTTCTCTTTTCCAGTTCCTTGCTATAAGCAGTCTTGCTATTGTTAATAAATTTGTTATCGCTTCTTTATCCTCTGTTTTCAATTGTTTATTATTATATAATGACTAGTTGTCCCCTGCCACGTGTTGCTGTGGTATACTATATCTGTGTGTGAGAGAGAGAATCATATCTATCTATCTATATTTATGACTGGATGGCTCTTTGTCAGGAGGGCTCTGATTACATTTTCTTGCCCTGGTGAAGAGAGTTGGACTGGATGGCCTTAAGTATTTTCTGTTGGTCATGGGGGTTCTGTGTGGGAAGTTTGCCCCATTTCTGTCGTTTGTGGGTTTCAGAATGCTCTTTAATTGTAGTGAACTATAAATCCCAGTAACTACAAATCCCAAATGTCAAGGTCTATTTCCTCCAAACTCCATCTGTGTTCATATTTAGGCATATGGAATTTTTGTGTCAAGTTTGGTCCAGATCCATCATTGTTTGAGTCCACAGTGCTCTCTGGATGTAGGTGAACTACAACTCCCAAACTCAAGGTCAATGCCCACCAAACCCTTCTAGTGTGTTCTGTTGGTCATGGAAGTCCTGTATGCCATGTTTGGTTGAATTCCATCATTGGTGGAGTTCAGAGTGCTCTTTGAGTGTAGGTGAACTATAAATCCCAGCAACTACAACTCCCAAATATCAAGGTCTATTTCCCTTAAACGCCATCTGTGTTCATATTTGGGCATATGGAATATTCGTGCCAAGTTTGGTCCAGATCCATCATTGTTTGAGTCCACAGTGCTCTCTGGATGTGGGTGAACTATAATTCCCAAACTCAAGGTCAATGTCCACCAAACCCTTCCAGTTTTTTCTGTTGGTCATGGGAGCCCTGTGTGCTAAGTTTGGCCCAATTCCATCATTGGTGGAGTTCAGAATGCTCTTTGATTGTAGGTAAACTATAAATCCCAGCAACAACAATTCCCAAATAACAAAATCAATTTTTTTGAGTGGAGGACATAAATTGGACTGTTAGGTGTCTTGTGTCCAAATTTGGTGTCAATTCCCCCAGTGGTTTTTGAGTTCTGATGATAGCACGAACTAACATTACATTTTTATTTATATAGATTATTATTAATAATAATATTTTTTATTTTAATATTCATTATATCTTCTATTTCTCTAAATACTTTCCCCCAAAAATTATTTACATATTTACATTGCCACCACATATGTATATATGTTCCTGATTCTTAGCACCCTCTCCAACAATTTTTTGAATTATTTTTATTTATATATGCTAATCTTACTGGTGTTAGATACCACTTCCATATTAACTTATAATAATTTTCTTTAACCCGTATTGATAAATTTTTAGATGTCTTTGTCTCCATAATTGTTGCCACTCTGTTTCATTTATTTTTATCCCTAAATCTTCTTCCCAGACCTCCTTGAGGATGTTATTTTTTGTTTTTCCTTCCTTTATTTCAATTATTATCTTATATATTTTACTAGTTATTCCTTTCAAATTTTCATGCTCCTCTACAACCCTTCCATTTTGTATTATTTGTTCAAATTGGTTAAGCTTACTTCCATTTTTATTATTTTTTTCCCAATTTTAAACCATTGTTCTAATTGTATACAATGGAACCATGTCAATTTTATTTCTCTAAATTCTTCCATAATCGTTTCCTTCTTCATTCCGACCTTTATCCAATCCCCTATTTTGTCTAATTTTTTTCCCTTAACTTTTTATCCATTACTTTTTAAAAAAAATTGGAAAATCTTTTCCCATTACAATTGGAGTTATTACTGAACCCTCCGTTATTAACATTCTCCTTTATTTGTTCCATACTTCTAATGTATTGATCAACATTAGGTTTCTAATTTGCCTAATTTCTTTTCTCGTAAACTGTTTAAAAAATATATTCTAGATTTCTTCCTCCACTTCTTCTGAATCCTTTCTTAGCCAATCTGCTCCCTCTTTTTTTGTCATTCCTTCTATAACCAATCTTAATCTACTCGCTTCGTAATATTTTTTGATATTAGGGAGTGCTAATCGTCTCTCTTTTTGCAATCTGTACCATAACTGTTTAATCTATTTCTTTTACTACAATTACAATATTTATTTATCATTTGTTGCCATCTATTTAGTTCTTCTTCTGTGATACTGTAATTGATTCTATAGTTTAAACTTATGGGCAGGGGCGGCTCGTCCATTACACGAAGTAAGCGGTCGCAGAACACTTTTTTTGCCAGGGGCGCAGAGGCGCCTCTGTAAATGCCCCTCGACCGCCACTTGAGGAGCGCCCACACAGCTCACAACAGCCCTAGCAGTCCAGGGGGAGCCTCGGCTTTCTTGCCTCGCTGCCGGGCGATCCTCTTCCCAAAAGGGCCGGGCCCTTGAGCCTCGCCTAGCCCCTCTCATTCCTGCTCCACCCGGCCATCGAGTGCGCGAGCAGAACCGGCGTTCAATCGTTCTCCGTGTTCTATCCCTTCCCCATGACCGGCTCCCTTTCCCGATCCCCGGCGCTCCACCCACCTCCTCTCCTCTCCCCAATTGGCGGGTGGGCCAAGGGGTGGAGCCGCTGCGCCTGGCCCGCTTCGGGTCCGGAGGCGTGTCTGAAGACCCCAGCGTGCGCACCAAAAGTTGTCTCTTCTCCTGACTTTCTCTTCAGCCATTGGGACCAGAGAGAGAGAGAGAGAGAGAGAGAGAGCCCCTCCGGCTGGAGGTATCTCCCACCTCCGCTCCCTCCTTTGTTTTTGCGCCTACCTTCAGGAAAGGTGAGCATCTCCACCTCTGTCTGTCTCTCTCTCTTGGTCCCAATGGCGGAGGAGAAAGACAGGAGAAGAGGTGACTTTTGGTGCACACACTGGGGTCTTTAGGCACGCCTCCGAATCCAAAGCGGGCCAGGCAAGGGAGCAAGTGTGGCAAGTGTAGTTACTGGGATGTATTGTTCACCTACAATCAAAGAGCATTCTGAACTCCACCAATGATGGAATTGAACCAAATATGGCACACAGAACTCCTACGACGAACAGAAAATATATATATCAATGATTGGTTGGGGGGCGGGGCATCAAAATACTGTTTGCTTACCATTGAAAATTACCTAGGGCCCCCTCTGCTTATGGGTAGTGTCTGGAAGCTCAAGATGCTGTATAAGAATTCTTATAGTGGAATCTGTGCATGTCTGTTCAAGTCCAATGGGTTTACTGTTAAGTACGAAGAAGAATTCAGTCTTAGCTGATTAGTCCTCTGAGTTGTGATTCCTTGATCATCGAATCATAGAGTTGGAAGAGATCACATATGCCATCTAGTCCAACCCCCTGCCATGCAGGGAAAGCACAATCAAAGTACCCCCGACAGATCAGTTTATTTATTGATTTAAATCTGCATAATATGACTAATTGAGAGAGTTGTTAAAATACTTTCTTTGTGAGATAAATATGCATGTCATAGCACATGTGTTCATTATCATCTTTCTGTGAACAAAGGACATGCTGCTACTGAAATGATAGTTTTTGCATTAAATTTGTATAAACGTGTATTCTAAAAAATATTTTTAAATGTAAAATCCGTTTTCCCGCTAACCAAAGGCACATTTTCACTCATTGTTTATTTAAATAGGTAAAGGTAAAGGTTTTCCCCTTACATTTAAGTCCAGTCGTGCCTGCCTCTGGGGGTTGGTGCTCATCTCCATTTCTAAGCCGAAGAGCCGGGTTGTCCGTAGACACCTCCAAGGTCATGTGGCCGGCATGACTGAATGGAGTGCCATCAGGGCCATAGCCAGAAAAAAAATTCGGGGAGGGTTGAAAAAATTTTTTTGGGGGGGAGAGAGAGTTTTGAAAATTTGGGGGGGGGTTTGAAAATTTGGGGGGGGGGGTTGAAACCTGCCTCTTAGCTCACGCTGAAGCAAAGAGCACAGCAGGGGCAGAGCAGCCTTCAATAGCCTGCAGCTCCGCCCCTGTCAACCACCTCCACCAAGTCTGGCCTCCTTAATGAGAGCATTCAACACCCCCCCCCAACTTGGTTGCTTCGCTACATTGGCTATTGCTGCAAGTAATGACAGTGTGAATAAATTGTCAATATTTGCTTGAGATAGTGCTTGCAGTTCTGGAGGGACTCTTAATTTTTTGCATCTCATAGACTTAGCATGGGGATTTGGTTAACCAGTTAAAATTCATGAGTAAACCAGGTTTATTTTTTTAACCTGAAAAATTTCGGAAAGGGATTTTAAGAAAGGGATTTTTGATGGCCTCCCCCAACTTCTCAGTCTCTAAACCAAAAATGTTAATTCTATTGCCTTTCTTTTGATAGCTAAGAAATTGTTAGCCAGGGGTGGGGGTCGGGATTTGGAAACCAACCTCTATTGCTACAAAAGGAGCTCTTAACTGGTATAACTCTCTATTTTCTTTTATTAGTGTGTTATGAAATTGTATTTCATATTTTTCTTCTTTTATTCATTTCAAAATTTAATTTTGTTTCTTCAGTTTTATGGGAAGTTCTCCTTAGTTTCATTTTTGAGAGCAAGATGAGATACAAATCCAGTAAATAAAACAAAACTTCTTGTTGAAATCAGTGCTACTTTTAAAAAGTGATTGGATTTTTACTAGTGTTTAAATAAACATCATGTTTTATTTCTCCGACAGCTGTTAGATGATATTGGGATGCCAATGGATGAAGATCAGTTTGATTATCTCATTGCGAGATTAGGATTTCCTATTGGCGGGCTGAGTTATCTTGATTTTGTGGCAATATTTGAAGGTAACTGGATATTTATTTATAGTGTAACAATAATATTTGGCTCCATAAATGTGACTTAAATGGGATAACTGTATAAACCAGGCATGTAGCCGGGGGGGGGGGTGGGGGGGCAACACATACATGGTCTAGACCAGGGGTCCTTAAACTAAGGCCCAGCAGCCAGATACGGTCCTCCAAGGTCACTGTCGCAACTCAGGATAGATTCACCTTGCTCAGAACACCACACCACACCAAGGCAGGCATGTAGCTGGGGGGGGGGGCTTGAGGGGCTTCACCCCCCCCCCCCGAAATTCTCATGGAAATTCCATGCAAGCAGGCCATTGCGTCTGGCATGTACTCAATATATCCCATATGCATGGGGGTATTGGGGTAACGATACAAAAGGTTTGCTAGGGTAGACCCTCTTTTGCTCAGACTCAGCCCCCGAATCAAACTCAGCCCCCCCCCCCAAATCAAAATCCTGGCTATGGGCCTGGTATAGACTGATGTATTGTCGAAGGCTTTCATGGCCGGAATCACTGGGTTGTTGTAGTTTTTTCAGGCTATATGGCCATGGTCTAGAGGCATTCTCTCCTGACGTTTTGCCTGCATCTATGGCAAGCATCCTCAGAGATAGTGAGGTCTGTTGGAACTAGGAAAAAGGGTTACAACAGCACAACAACAGAGAGGAAACAAACAAGGACATCTAATCACCTCTCAACAAAAGATTGCTCCAGGCACTGCCAGGCAATCAAATGCTAATCAAAGTGGTCAGTTGAAACATTCACACCTAGCTCCAGCAGACAAGAGTCCTTTGTCTCACCCTGGTCATTCCACAGATATATAAACCCTTTTTCCTAGTTCCAACAGACCTCACTACCTCTGAGGATGCTTGCCATAGATGCAGGCGAAACGTCAGGAGAGAATGCCTCTAGACCATGGCCATATAGCCCGAAAAAACTACAACAACCCACTGTATAGACTGAATTGCAGAGAGTAAATAGGTGCTGCATTGCTTCATTACAAACCTACAAAAATCTGAGACCGAATGTAGATATACCGTACATTATGCAATTGATTAAACATTATAGCAGAGACCAAATGAAGCAACAAGTGTTGTTGCCATTTCCAAATCTATTCCTGTCATGAGGCAATGAGAACCTTAAATGTTAGGTGATACTCAGAGCCAATGCAGGAGAGTAATAAATTGGTATCTGGCCCCTGATCTTTTGACAGTCACACAGCTTCACAGCCACTAATCCATTCACTTTCCTTTCCTGGTTATGCAGATTCTTTTGCACAAGGTCCCCTTTGATGGCCAGGAGATCTCACTGAGCTCTGTGGTTGTCTGTTGGCGGGACACCGATCTGATCCATCCCCTTTTTCCTGCACTGATAGTGCTTAAGCTACGCGGTTGCTCCAGAGTTAAAGGCAACACATATGTGCTGATTTCCAGACCCTTTACTTTATTCATTGCTCTTTGGACACATTCCAGAGTGGCCAGTATCTTTCTTGAATTATGACATCTAGAACTCGAAACAGTATTCCAGCTGAGGTCTGACCAACATCAAATAAAATTGTAGCATTACTCCCCTCCATCTAGATCAGTGGTTCTCAACCTAGGGGTTGGGAGCCTTAGGGGAGGGGTCACAAGGGGGTGTCAAAAGGGTCATCAAAGACCATCAAAAAACACAGTGTTTTCTGTTAGTCATGGGGGTTCCTGATTGTTTCTTGTCTGGAATTCCCATGTTTGAGTTTTGTTTTCGAACTGCTAGGTTGACAGAAGCTGGGGGTGACAGCAGAAGCTCACACCGCTCCCTGGATTTGAACCCGCAACCTTTCAGTCAACATGTTCAGTAACTCAGCGGTTTAACCCACTGCACCCCCGGGGGCTCCCATTACCTAACTGTCAGGTTTTACAATGTATTGTAATGCAATATAGCTGAGTCATGCACTGCTAATAGGCTTCTATTGGAAATGCTGAGTCATGCATTAACTGTATATAGGGAATCATTTGGGGAATGTGTTCTGGCCTAGTCCAGGTGATTGTGAATGATGTAATCCTGGGTCTGAGTTAAGTTAATAAGTTGGGAACCAATCAGAGATGTAGGGGCCCCCCCCCCCCCCCCGAAATTCTCATGGTGGTTCTCAAAAAGGCCTTACTGGTGCATTATTTAAACTGTTATGTTTATTCATATCATGATCTGATCACCATACTCAATATATCCCATATGCTTGGGGGTATTCGGGTCCCCCCCCAAAACAAACCCCCCCCCCCCCCCGAATCGAAATCCTGGCTACGGGCCTGGCTATGTGTAATTGTATAGAATTGTATATAAGGAAGTCATGTACAGTGTATATTCCTCTCCTTGTGCTGTGATGTTGTTTGTCGAAGGCTATATGTAATTGATTAAAAGAACCTGTCTGCTAAGACAAGATATTACTGTATGCTGTGGTAAGTTTGTAATGTCATCTAGACTGGGGGAAAGACAATGGTAAAACTGACAATGGCCGGGCATGTGCTCAAGTGTCTGTAACAGGTTCCAGAGTGACTGCAGGCTGTGGGAGCAGTTGACTGAAAATGCTGTGCGGGAAGAAGCTACTGGAAAGCGCTGAAGTTGTGCAACTGATCTGCTGCTGAATTGTGAAGTTAATCTCAACACTAACACTTCATAATTCCATTTTATCCAATATCCAGTTCTATAGTTGATTACAGTGTTTTTATAAAATCAAGAAATGAGTAATCACTTGATTAATGTATTTATACTTTGCATTTGCACCTCACAGTTCCTCCAAGTACCTTGTGACACATGTTCTTATCCCCAAAACTTACCCGCAAGAAAGCTCAAAAGTAGGGGCCCAGATTCATCCTGTGATGTTCACTGCTGGGTCTTCTAGTACGGTCCAACAATCTGGCCACTCAATAGCAAGTGAATACTTTGAGAAAAAATAGGTCATTAGTTGCTTTATTTTACTACACTAGAAACGTTTAAAAAGAACCTTAAAACCTGGCTCTTCCGCTGTGCCTTTGGCGAGTAGGTGCACAGTACGACACTATTGCTCCCCTCAACGCCTTTGTCACTGGAGTACATGTCCCCCCCCAAATGGGAAGCTTAGTTTCACAACCCTGTGTGTCTTTATGATCTCCCTGCAAATAACTTCCTCCTATTTTTATCTCATTAGAGTTTTTAACATTTTATCTTGTACATGTGGCCCGCCCACTGTTACTACGACTGTGTATTTGTTCATTGCAATGTTATTTTGTTATTGCATTTTTTTCTTCTATGTAATTTTGATGATGTTGCTTGTTGTTTATGTTTTGGTTGTATTTTGATGTAATATGTTGTTCGGGCTTGGCCCCATGTAAGCCGCTCCGAGTCCCCATTGGGGAGATGGTGGTGGGGTATAAATAAAGATTATTATTATTATTATTATTATTATTATTATTATTATTATTTCAGATTCCAGATTGAGTGGACTTGGTCCAAATCGGCGAGTCAATGCCAACAAGTGTCGCTTCATGTCTGCTGAAGAATGCCTCAGCCAGTATAGCGATAAGCTTTCGGAAGAATATGGGGTAATGTCATCTTAATGACACTCTTCATCAGCATCATAACTGATCATTTTGTGATAACAGTGTCTTCACACATTTTCCTTATGTGCAGTTCTTGTAAAGAAAAGGATAGGCATCCTAGGATTTATGAATTCATTCTTTGTAATTTCCTTCCTTTGTAGGCCCAGATATCTCAGAGCAGGTCTGCTTGTTAAGTATCTGCTTATCAGTGTAACCCATATAATGCAGTTTGAACTGCATTGAATTGTATTATATGGGTCTTCACTGATCATATGCAGTTCAAACTGCAGTGTAGATCCAGCCTTTATTGAGAGTTGTTTAGCTATGCTTGTACAGAACACTAAGAGTTTCCTCAGCAAAGGTTTCTAGTGGTGTCTCAGCTATTAACTTTCCTTCATCTTCCAGGAAAAAGAGGGTTCCAACTTATAAAATCCACAGCAATAATCTCATGATAAGAAGTTGTCCCACTGTGAGAGCTGTTCAGCAGTGGAACTCTCTGCTCCGGAGTGTGCTGGAGGCTCCTTCTTTGGAAGCTTTAAACAGAGGCTGAATGGCCATCTGTCAAAGGTTCTTTGAATGCAATATTCCTGTTTCTAGGCAGAGGGTTGGACTGGATGGCCCATGAGGTCTCTTCCAACTCTATGATTCTATTATTCTGTTTAGATCAGTGTTTCTCAACCTGGGGGTCGGGACCCCTGGGGGGTCACGAGGGAGGTATCAGAAGGGTCACCAAAGATCATCAGAAAACACAGTGTTTTCTGTTGGTTATAAGGATTCTGTGTAGGAAGACTGGCCCAATTCTATCGTTGGTGGGCTTCAGAATGCTCTTTGATTGTAAGTTAACTATAAATCCCAGCAACTACAACACCCAAATGTCAAGGTCTATTTTCCCCAAACTCCACCAGTGTTCACATTTGGGCATATTGAGTATCCATATCAAGCTTGGTCCAGACCCATCATTATTTGAGTCTCTGGATGTAGCTCAACTACAACTCCAAAACTCAAGATCATTGCTCACCAAACCCTCCAAGTATTTTCTGTTGGTCATGGGAGTTCTGTGTGCCAAGTTTGGTTCAGTTCCATCGTTGGTGGAGTTCAGAATGCTCTTTGATTGTAGGTGAACTATAAATCCCAGCAATTACAACTCCAAAATGACAAAATCAATTCCCCCAACCCCACCAGAATTCAAATTTGGGCATATGAAGTATTTCTGCCAAATTTGGTCCAGTGAATGAAAATACATCCTACATATCAGATGTTTACATTGCGATTCATAACAGTAGCAAAATTACAATTATGAAGTAGCAAAGTAAATAATTTTATGATTGGGGGTCACCGCAACATGAGGAACTGTATTAAGGGGTCATGTTATTAGGAAGGTTGAGAACCACTGATTTAGATTTTCCTAGAGTTTATCAACAAAGAGGAATAGCAATGTGTGCTGCATACTAGAAGATGTTAAACCTTGGTTTGTAGCAATGGGATTCCTGTCGACGTGCTGCTACTGTGAATTTGATATGTTGGCACCCCTCTCTTTTTGGGGCTTCAAGGAAGTTGATGGGCAAGGCAACACTTCAGAAATGTGTGTGAATGCGAAGGAACCCCTCATGTTTATACAAGCAGGTCTAAAACAGTATTCAGAGGAACAGTTTTGAATGCATGTGAGACTCCAGTATCTTTCACTTCTGACTGTGATAGTAGCAGCCCAGATAACCTGACTTTTTACCAATTTGACATAGGGTATTGTTTGTGATTTGCTCAAATTACAAGGAACCAACTGGATCAGTCAATGTAATCTGAGTCAGAATATCTATTTCATAAATGATCCTAAAATATGATTGTAAAACCTGGTTTTGGAGATCAACAACAACAACAACAACAACAAAACTTTATTTATATACCGCTCTATCTCCCCAAGGGGACTCAGAGCGGTTTCCAAGTAACATCATCAATACATACAGAGTAAACAGCATAAGCGTAAAATTAACAAGACAATATAAGCATTAAAAATCATAATAGCATATATACGCTAGCTGTACCTGCCACGCGTTGCTGTGGCCAACCTTCCCTCCCTCTTTCTCTCCTTCTTTCTTTCTCTCCTTCCTTCTCTACTCCTTTCTTCTTTCTTCCTTCTCTACCTGTTTCTTTTCTCACTTCCTTTGCTCTTTGGTTCCATCCTTCACTTGTCTATTTCCTTCCTTCCCTTTTCTCTTCTTTCTCTTTCTCTCCTTCCTCCTCTCTCTTTCCTTCTCTCTTTTTTTTCCTTCTCTCCTTCTTCCTCTATCTTTCTTTCTTTCCTTCTTTTTCTCCTTCCCTCCTTCTTTCCCTCTTTTCTCCCTCTCTTCCTTCTCTATCCCTTCTTTCTTGTGTTTTGGTGGTGTATGATGCCAATATCATGTGTAGTATATTGTGTGTAGAATATGTGTGTGTTGCAACTAAAATATGTGGTTTGCACATGAATTGCAATGTATTGTTAGCTCACACTTCTCCTGGGTTTTTAAAAGTATGCACCCCGTGTGTTTTACAGTGTTTTTTATGAAGTAGATGGTCACTAGTTGGTTGAAGAGGTGTATTGCCATGTCACAAAAATTTGACGCTAAGTTGTACAAACTTCGGACCAGTATGGTCTTTAGCGTTCGTTAACTACACAAAATAACAACCGACACAATGAACATTGCCTTTTATGCTAATACGAGCCGTCCCCTGCCACGGGCTGTTCTGTGTGGGAGGTTTGGCCCAATTCTATTGTTGGTGGGGTTCAGAATGCTCTGTGGTTGTAGGTGAACTATAAATCCCAGGAACTACAACTCCCAAATGCCAAGGTCCATTGTCCCCAAACTCCACCAGTGTTCACATATTGGCATATTGAGTATTCGTGCCAAATTTGGTCCAGATCCATCATTGTTTGAGTCCACAGTGATCTCTGGGGATGTAGGTGAACTACAACTCCAAAACCAAAGGACACTGCCCACCAAACCCTTCCAGTATTTTCTGTTGGTCATGGGAGAACTGTGTGCCAAGTTTGGTTCAATTCCATCGTTGTGGGGTTCAGAATGCTCTTTGAGAACTATGTGCAAGTGATTCCATCCTTGGTGGGGTTCAGAATGCTCTTTGATTGTAGGTGAACTATAAATCCCAGCAACTACAACTCCCAAATGACAAAATCATTTTTTTTGCGTGAAGGACATACAATGGGTTGTTAAGGTGTCTTGTGTCCAAATTTGGTGTCAATGAGTCCAGTGGTTTTTGAGTTCTGTGAATCCTACAAACGAACATTACATTTTTATTTATATAGTTACACACACACCAGATCAGTCTTTAAATGCTCCTGCCTGTTCAAGGCAATTTAAAAGGCCGGGCCGAGGCTAGTGCAATTTGTAGAGGGCCCAGGAAATTAGGTAGAGTTTATGGTTGTTCATTTCTGGGGCCTAATAGAAGGAAGTAACCTGGGTAATTGGTAGAAAAAGATATGGCCATATTCAACAGTATCTGGGGCTGAGCTAGAACTAGTCATTCTCAAAGGCTTGTTTAAACCACCAGGTCTTTAGGCTCTTAAGAAAGGAGGGGAGGGATGGGCGTTCCAGAGGAGGGGGGCCACCACTGAGAAGGCCCTCTTTCTCGTCCCCACCAACCGTGCTTGTGATGGTGGTGAGAGCGAAAGGAGGGCCTCCTGGGAAGATCTTAAAGTTCACGCTGGTTCATAGAGGGAGATGCGATTACGAAAATCGTCCCCATCCTATGTGGACTGTTTCCTAGATAGTCTTAAATTTTCCCTATATGTGAACCATCTGGTACAAAATATACTTTAGATGTACTTTGGGTGAAAGCGTTAGTCTAGTGATGTTATTAGTAATCTGTCTGTTAATAAAAACAAAAATGTTTAAGTGCTGATAGTAAAACAAATGTTCCTTTCTAGGATCCATACGTTGCCTTCCGTAAAATAGATCTGAACAATGACGGCATTGTGACAATGCTTGATTTCCGACGCCTCCTGCACAGCTTAATGATCAGCATGACAGATGAGGAATATGGACGTCTGCTTAGTCTCTTGGGACTGAATGTCACATCTACGCTAAACTATCCAGAATTCCTTCAAGTGTTCCAAGCACACGCAATGAAAGAGATGCGCCCTTGGCTAACTCCATCTTACAAGTAAGAAGGACAGCAGTCTCATAGAGTTAGATAGATTTACATTATTGTTATAGGTAAAGGTAAAGGTAGTCCCCTGACATTAAGTCCAGTCATGCCTGACTCTGGGGTGTGGTGCTCATCTCCATTTCTAAGCCGAAGAGCCAATGTTGTCCGTAGACACCTCCAAGGTCATGTGGCCGGCATGACTGCATGGAGTGCCGTTACCTTCCCGCCGGAGCGGTACCTATTGATCTACTCACATTTGCATGTTTTCGAACTGCTAGGTTGGCAGAAGCTAGGGCTGACAGCGGAAGCTCACGCCGCTCCCCGGAATCGAACCTGCGACCTTTCGATCAACAAGCTCAGCAGCTCAGTGCTTTAACCCACTGCACCACCGGGGGACAAATATTATATTTGTCAAATAATATGGGATGCATCCTACATAGAAAGAGTTATGCAAAGAGATCTTGTGGCCCTAACAGAAAGAAAGACGTAAGTCACATAAGTAGAAAGATATTGACAAGCTGGAATGTGTCCAGAGGTAGGCAACTAAAATGATCAAGGGTCTGGAGAACAAGCCCTATGAGGAGAGGCTTAAAGAGCTGGGCATGTTTAGCCTGAAGAAGAGAAGGCTGAGAGGAGACATGATAGCCCTATATAAATATGTGAGAGGAAGTCATAGGGAGGAAGGAGCGAACTTGTTTCCTGCTGCCATGGAGACTAGGATGCGGAATAATGGCTTCAAACTACAAGAAAGGAGATTCCATCTGAACATGAGGAAGAACTTCCTGACTGTGAGAGCAGTTCAGCTTCTTTGGAAGCTTTTAAACAGAGGCTGGATGCCATCTGTCGGGGGTGCTTTGAATGCAATTTTCCTATTTCTTGGTAGGCAGTTGAACTGGATGGCCCATGAGGTCTCTTCCAACTCTATGAGCCCCCGGTGGCGCAATGGGTTAAATCCCTGTGCCGGAAGGACTGAAGACCGACAGGTCACGGGTTCGAATCCGGGGAGAGGCGGATGAGCTCCCTCTGTCAGCTCCAGCTCCTCATGAGGGGACATGAGAGAAGCCTCCCACAAGGATGATAAAAAACATCAAAATCATCCAGGCGTCCCCTGGCCAACGTCCTTGCAGACGACCAATTCTCTCACACCAGGAGTGACTTGCTATCACTCCTGACACGACAAAAAAAAACCCCCAAAAACTCTATGATTCGATGATTTGTAAAGTGAAGTCTTCTTCATCAAACTTAAGTTTATGGAACTTGCGCTACCAATTTCTTAAGTTCTACACTGCCATAAAATGCATTCTGAAACTGCATTATATGGCAGTATAGTGCCTTAGTCTCAAAGATATGACAAGATCCCTTTGCATACTGGTCCAGACTAACATAGCGATGTTTTTGAACAAAATATATATATTCTATAGTACTGATTTTTCTCTAAAATGAGTCTAACACAGTTGCATTCCTTATCGGTATAAAAAGAGATTGAGCAAACTGTGTGGTCGCGCCTGGGGCTATTATTCTTGATGAAGGAGGGATGGACGTGGCATCTTTCCCCAGGGAGGGCCTCCCTGGAAGATTGCTTCTTGCCCTCCTATAGGAAACTGGAATTCCCAAAAACCCAACACGCTGTAAATAACTCAAAATAAGTTTTATTGATCACAAAGAGTCATTTCTTTAAAGCAATAAGCTGGAAACTTCAGAGGGGTGAAGGAAAATATACGTTACAGTCTCAATTAGTCCTGGGTCCAAGGTGTTTGAAGCTGAGAAGCCTCACCAAGTTTCCTCTTTCCTCAATGGCTGTGAATGCCGGAGCAAACCACAACCCCAGTTCAGATGACCTATGTTTGAAGACTCAGGATCTTCCTTTGGTGCCAAAAGAACCGGTTTGAAGGTGCCTGAGACTTCCAACGTTGTTCAGGTTGGTCTGAACATGAAGCACAAGTCTCAAGGGTAAAAAACCTCAGAAGTGGTGCTAAGAGGTAATTTAAATCAGGGTCTTTTCGTGTCAAGTCTCTTACTCACGTCCATATGGTAGGAACTCTGATGGCAGAATGAAAAGAAAGGAAGCACTCCCCTCCTGCAGGAAGAGGTGGAGCCAAACAGTACTGATTGACAGCTATAAGTAACCAATCCATACAACTATACATAAGCAGGGTAACAGGGGCAGGATTAAGCATGATACAACAGTTTAAATCTTGCAACTAACAGTTCTACACATAGGTGACGCCACTCGCGCCGTCACACTCCTGGCCTAGATTTTTGGACTTTCAAAAATCTAAACAAAATGAAGTTAAATACCTTTAACTTTTATAACTCTAAGACTGTAGGTCTTGCGAAAATAACACAATTGTAAATCACTTTACCAACAAGTTTACGAGCATTAACAATCCAAAACCCATTGTTTCTTAGGGCAGACTCAGTAAATGTCCTTCCCTGGTGTTTAACCTTTGCATGAAAATGCTGTGCCAACAGCAGAGCTATGTGGCTATGGTGTGGCAAAATAACAGGATTATTTTGTGTGACTCGCTAATAACCAATACCAAACCAATACCAAACTTGGTACCCTCCAAATGTTGTGGTTTTCAAATCCCTATCCACCCCAAACAGCTCAAACAATGGTCAAGAATTCAATGAGCTGTAAGATCCATTTGAAAGATCCAAAATGTTGTGGTACTGTTGCTAAATAGATTCAAGGCTTACTCTTCTTCTATCTGGTTCTCTCTGCCATATAAAATTAGTCTTGTGTACTTCGCTTAGTAGGAAGGTGGGCAAGTTATTAACTTGCCTGCCTCCCACTGAGGTACTTGAGCAGCTCTTACAATGTGATGAAGAACAGCGGATGAACACTTGACATTAATTCACTCTTCAATACGCCAGAAATTGCTCAAAGCTAATGTGTTTGAAAATGTGGGGATATGCTTGATGACATAAAACAAGCCTACTCAACTTCAGAATAATATTTTCCCACTTTGATGCCTCCCATTACGATAAATATCTGGGTTAATTTCTCTTTACTAATGGCTTGCATTCAGAGCCACCACTAGGTAGGGAGAGGCCACAACCTCATCCAGATTTTTAATACAGCAATCGGTTATTAGACATAGTAGTATTGTCTTTTTACTGCCGTGGCTTCAGTTCTAGATTTCAACACTGAGTACTATGCAACCTCACCTTCACATTTGCTGTTCATCAGGAATTAAAATGTATTGGCCCAACCATGGTAGCACTTCAGCTTGTCACATTAGGGTTTTTTTTAAAGACTAGTTTTTATTCAGAATTTTTTTAAAAAAAAATAAAAGAGCAAAAATAGAACAAAAAGAAGATTTTTGTGATATATTGCTAAAACTCTGACTTCTCTGCCACGACCGGCCCTTCATGGTTTCACTCGTGACATCATAGAATCATAGAGTTGGAAGAGAACTCAACTCTATGAAGAGTTGAGGTCTCTTCCAACTCTATGATTCTTGAGCATCATTGAGGTGCTCAAGCACCAGCGCCACGACAAAGCGGTGATCCTTTGCTGGAGATGGCAGGGACCTAACAGAAGCTGAAGAGATCAAGGTGTTGAGACTATGCAGAAGATCTGTATAGGAAGGATAATAATATCGAGGATAGTTTTGATGATGAGGTGAGTGAATTTGAACCAGACATCCTGAGGAGTGAGGTTGAATGGGTCTTAAGAAGCATTGCTAACAACAAGGCAGCAGGAGACGACGGGATCCCCGCTGAACTTTTTAAAATCTTGAAAGATGATGCTGTCAAGGTGATGCATGTCATATGCCAGCAAATATGGAAAACACAAGAATGGCCATCAGACTGGAAAAAATCAACTTATATTCCCATACCAAAAAAGGGAAATGCGAAAGACTGCTCCAACTTCCGTACAGTGGCCCTTATTTCTCATGCCAGTAAGGTAATGCTCAAGATCCTGCAAGGAAGACTCCAGCAATACACACAGAGAGAGTTGCCAGATGTACATGCTGGGTTTAGAATTGGCAGAGGAACAAGAGACCAAATTGCCAATATCCGCTGGATAATGGAGAAAGGCAGGGAGTTTCAGAAAAACACCTATTTCTGTTTTATTGACTATTCTAAAGCCTTTGACTGTGTGGATCATAATAAATTGTGGCAAGTTCTTGGTGGGATGGGCATACCAAATCACCTTATCTCTCTCCTGAGGAATCTGTACAAGGACCAAGTAGCAACAGTAAGAACTGACAATGGAACAACAGACTGGTTCAAGATTGGGAAAGGGGTACGGCAGGGTTGTATACTCTCCCCCAACCTATTCAACTTGTATGCAGAACACATCATGTAATGTGTGGGGCTTGAGGAATGCAAGGCTGGGGTGAAAATTGCTGGAAGAAACATTAACAACCTTAGATATGCAGATGATACCACTTTGATGGCCAAAAGCGAGAAGAAACTGAGGAGCCTTCTAATCAAGATGAAAGAAGAAAGCTCAAAAGCTGGGTTGCAGTTAAACATAAAAAAAACCAAGATTACGGCAACAAGAATGATTGACAACTGGGAAATAGAGGGAGAAAACGTGGAGGCAGTAACAGATTTTGTATTTCTAGGTGCAAAGATTACTGCAGATGCAGACTGTGGCCAGGAAATCAGGAGATGCTTACTTCTTGGAAGGAGAGCAATGACCAATCTTGATAAAATAATGAAGAGACATCACGCTGGCTACAAAGATCCTCATAGTTAAAGCAATGGTATTCCCCATAGTCACCTACAGATGTGAGAGCTGGACCTTAGGGGAAGGCTGAGTGAAGGAAGATAGATGCTTTTGAACTGTGGTGCTGGAGGAAAGTTCTGAGAGTGCCTTGGACAGTGAGAAGATCCAACCAGTCCATATTTCAAGAAATAAAGCCCGACTGCTCATTGGAGGGAAGGATATTAGAAACAACGATGAAGTACTTTGGCCACATCATGAGAAGAAAGCTTAGAGAAGACAATGATGGTGGGGAAAATGGAAGGAAAAAGGAAGAGGGGACGACCAAGGGCAA